TTTCCTTTGTTTTCACTTCTATTTTGTCATCGGAGTTAGTTTCAGTTCGATGGAGAATATTTTCCGGATAAAAATTTTTTGAATTTGCAAAATATTCCTGAGTGATCATATTTAGGTAAAGACTGTAGTTTGAAATTTAGGATTGTAGAAGTCGGCTCACACACTGGTAAAACTGCAATATCATTGATCAAAGCGTGTCGTGAAGTCGCCGTTGATCGCAAATGCTCGCTGATTTCCGTTGATATGTGGACGAGGTCTGCTGACATCTACGAGCAACAGAAATACTGGCACACATTTCCGAACCACAGTAATGCTGATCTTGGGTAAGTTTAAAATACCTGCACATGACCGGGACTACTGAACTTCTAGCTTCTTAGCAATTCTAAGTTCTCTATTGTGTTGCTGATTGGAATATGGCCTAGCTGTCTTATAAAGAATTAATTTTAGGATTTATGAAATTTTCATGAATAATGTCAAAAATCAAAAATTAACTGACGCAATTGCACCGCTTCGTATTCCTTCAGCACAAGGTGCTCACGTTTTGTTCTGTTTCGGAATCAAAGCTGACTTCATTTATATTGGTAAGTTTTGTTTGAATACTTATTAAACTCACTGAAGTAAGAACATATCAATGGTGCAAGAGACCATACTGTAAAAGCAAAAATTTCCTGGAAGAATTCAAAATCACACGTTTCTCAAACAAACTAAGCAATAGCAAGTAAATATGCATCATATTTCATGCATTGGCCTTTTCTTTCTTGAAAGCAGAGATTTCAGTTATTGCTTTTGCAGACGCCGGTCACGATTATGATTCAGTGTACAGTGATTTGGCATCGTTTCGAAGCATTCTAACTGAGGGGGGAGTTATGTTTGGGGACGATTACATTCGCCCAGGTTTGATTTTTGAAAATTCCCCGAAAACTTCCAAAAATTAGTCAGTTGTTCAAGTTTCTTTACAGCTTCAAATAAACTATCCGAAATATCATATTTCTTGAAATAGCTAGGGACAGAAGAAAGGCTCTCACAGGCCAAGAAAATTCGCGCTTCTAAAAATGAAAGGTTTATTTTCACGCAAGAGTAGTTGTAAGTTGAATAAGGTTAAAAGGAGCAATTTTATTGTCGATACCTTTAATTGTTCACACGTAAGAGCCATGCATGTTTTGGAGCCTGAATTTGAAATATTTAAATTGTATCTGGACAGGAGACATGCACTAAAATTTCTACTTTCTAGCTTTTTTGTTTCTTGAGTTACTAGTTTCCCTGCTAAAATTTTCACATGTCCGCATGTGCGACCAAGTCCCTGGGACGGGGAGAGAGCTGAACTTGAAATCTTTAAATTGTACGTTGACGGAAAACATCCCCCTAAAAATTTAGTTTTTTTGGTTATTGAGTTAGCAATTTTCCCACCAAATCTTTCACTTGCCCGTACGTTAAAGCTACAGAAACCAAGAGGCTGAATTTGGAATCATTAACTCACACATGCAAAGAAAACATCAACGCGAATGTAGAGCTCTTTAACTTGTCTGGTTCCCGAGATCGCTTTCCCTCGAAAAATGTGCATGTTTTTTAAGACGTCCGTACATGCGATCCAGGCTTAAATGGATGATAATATTAAAACTGAAGGGTTGTACATGGCATAGGCGAAGTTCTAGCCTTCTAGTCTTTCTGGTTCTCGAGTTGAAACCGGGTTAGAAATAACGGGAACACACCGAAAAACATAAACAGCTTCTTGCCAATGTGCATTTTTGCATTTACACATGTGCAAAAACGTATTAAAAAGTGAAAAAATTTATCAAAAAGATATTAACAGAGAATTGTCAGCTTTCACTCCGAATACACCGGCCCAGGTATCGGCATGAAATCCTCGAGGATAATTGATCACAGTAGTTTATAGAACAACGAGAATGATCGTCGTTGTGGCTTTTGTCTCCTGGAGTACCGGCTTTATCTGTCAGCTCGGCGGAAATGAACTAGAAATGGCTAAGCGTAAAATGACCAGAGTAAGGTAATTTACATGCAGACCATCAGTTCAAAGCATATCAGTGAATTAGTAGGCTAATAGCTCCTCTTTCTACTGTAATAAATTATTACACGGCCTGCAGATCTTATCGAAGCAGTGGATGATTATGCAGTCGAAGCTGGTGTTCCTGTTACTGTAGACAGTGACCGACGCACATGGATTTTGCATTTCTCATCGCCAGATTCATCAACGATATTACCGTGGCGTTTCTGATATCACGATTTGCTGATTTGCCCACAACGCAAAGCACTGCCAATCTCTTTAGTTTTGTAAATCGCGCCGATAGCGGTGCTTGTGCAAATCATTTTTTGGAAAATAACAAAATCGGAGTTCAACTATAGAATGCAAACAGACAATCACATTCTCACATGGCGACAAAACATTCAAATAAGCAAGTGATATGCACTCATAACGGTGGTACTCGTGTTAGCGATGTTACCGGGATACTCCCAATTGCCAGGTACAGGCCATTTGTTTCTGGAATGCATACCCTCGGTTCGTACCCACCGCCTGTTTAGTGCACGTGCTCTATCCCTTCTTCGGCTACTCAAAATTTTGTTTACGTTTTTCTTAAACTATAAAAATACCGGAAATTAAAAGTCAGTAACATTCTACTGAAATTTAAATGCAAAAATGTTCGAGAAATCATCGGAGTAGTAGGCGCAAGAGACAGATGGAATTTGGAAATTATCCAGCACCAGTATTGTAGAGCCTGTTGGTAGTTCAGTTAGGTGCTCCCTGCGATGTTTGCGAAGGGGAAAAAAAAAGCAGTGCCAGGCAATGGATGAAGTACACAAGCTGGAATCTGGATTCCACTGCTATCGGCGCAATTCACTAGCTTATTTGAGTGTATAGTCCCTGTATGGGAATGTGACTGTTTGTTTGCATTCTGTAGCTGGAATCGGATTTCGTTTTTTTTT